TAATGTTTTCCATTTGATTCTCAAGTTGCTTCTGCCACCAGATCTTCGTATGGTACTCCATTTCTTATAACGCAGCATGCCAACAACAAGGTGATGATCATCTGATAACTTCGTGCGACTCTTAACGCGAACGTCCATTAATGTCAGACAATTCGATTGTCAAATGGAGCATCGAATTCTATGCACAAGCTTCCCGGTACCAGGAGCACTGATGCAATCAAAGGTGTTCATAATGGATAGTCCGCTGTTTTGCACAAAACCGCAACAACTTCGTGCCATTATTGTTGAAGTCGCTAGAGCCGTTCTTTCCAATCACGCCTTCAAAGTTTTTGGTGTCTGCTATGATATACGCATTAAAATCGCCCATTACAATGAGGGACTTTGTAGTTGGCACTGCGTACAAACCACTCTCCACTTCCGTATGGAAAGATTCCTATGCTCTCTCCAAATTGAACGCATAGAACTGCATTAAGGACAATGCTTTAGCCTATTGTAGTCTCAGTCAGAGGATTGCCACTCTTCAGTTGACAGGGTTCCATTCAATGATTCTATCAGTCACGTTGAGTTCTAACAGAAAGCTAGCACCAGCCTGAGCGCACGTCATGACGTCGACTCCTGAGTAGAATCGCTTCCACCCGCGCAGGTTCAGAATTCCAAATCCGTAATACTTCGCTGACGTGAGTCCAATCACGTCGATTTTGTAATATGCGACCTCATCAGCTAGCTCTTGCTAGCTCCTTTACCCTGAATCACTATATATTTCAATTTCCGACTTGAGGCTCCTTCTGTCAGTGACGTTTCAGTGGAGTCTGTTCTGACATGCTAGAATGGTATCGCACTCTCTGCCTCTGTTCAGAATGGGTAGCGACTCCATTACTGGTTGATTATCTTCCTCATTGCTTCGTCGATTTTCCTCGATCGTTGCTGTGCTGCTACGTCTTCCGTTGTCAGTAGGCGATGAGCCGGTTCTGATTATCAACTTTTCGCAGCCTCCCTCAAC